GTCCAAAATGTATATGTTGACATATCCACCAAGCGAAACGCTTTTATAATAAATTTTCACAATTTTAAATTTGTTTAAATAAGCGATTCATATTATAAAATGGTAAACTGTGAACTATATAGGTATGTAATACTTTGGATGAGTGTTTTATTTAATATATGCCACTGAAACAATAATACTACATCGGGATTATCATTTATTATAATCATTTGTTATAATTATAATTATTATAATCATTTCAATTAATGTGTGTTATGCACTATTACATTCTGAGTATTGATATTTATTTCCATTTAATTAACCAAAGGATTTGGGAATACTTAATACAAGGTTCACACAAATTTATTCAAACACTTAGATATATACACTGCTGCCATAATATATGTATGTTCGATGTCAATAGTGGACTATCTGTATAAGTGTCAAATATAATTTTGTCCGAAAGTTATGATACTCACTCTGATTCTCTTTCAACAAGCGGTCCTCTTCAGAAAATGAATATATCAATAAATTATAGCAAGCCACAACGGCAACCATTGAGGCGGCCACAATCCAACCTCCAACTGTTGATTTCTGCAAAACATGCTGACGCTTGAAAGCCTGCCAATCTTGTGGATATATACCCAAAATTTTGCATATTAAAAATATTTGATCGAAATTAAGAAGTAAAGATTGCACTTGACGCTGCGCCATTTTGCATTCCCATTCAAAATTGCTGACGGAACAAATTAAATTGACTTAACTGTTTAACTCATCGAGAAGGACTAAAAGGAAACCTTTTCTACACATTACTAAAAATAATAACTTAAAGCATTTTAATGGAGAGGGGAGAATAAGCATAACAGACACATAGCACTTAACTTTATTAAATGTTATTTGATATGCAAATGCTGATGAGGTTACGACTTTATGACAATTGAATTAATACGCAGCACACACTATCAAACAAACACAAAAGGAGCGAAGGGAAGATTTTGTGAAAAATTATAACAATTTCAATATATAAATGTATTTGTTTAGTATTTGCAATTATAATTGTAATAAAAGCAATAATATAAAAAATATTTAGATTGACGAAAATATATTTCAATAAGAGAACAGTATGTAAGTGCCATATAAATATTGTAAAGAGTACAGTTCTCATAGTTGACTATTAATAGATGAGTAATATCTAAATATTCGTAGTTATTTTTACTCCATCCTTATCAGTAACATTGATATAAGAATAGAAATATAACGATTAATAACTTTTAGCAAAAACTATAGACAAAACGCATACGAAATCCCTTCTAAATGATGGTAACTTAAGCTCCATTTGACAGTAAACTTTTACTTGATCTTATAAGTTTCTAATAAATTTCTCTATGACAGAAGTACACTTGATCTTATAAAATTCTAATATATTTCTCTATGACAGAAATACAGCCATAACTCAGGTCTCACCCTTGGCAGATGGTGAACGAGTATCATTGTAATATCTCACTGTATCATCTTTTTAGATTTTGAGAGCGCCTATTACAGCATAGCCAGAGTAGAATTTTACAAAGCCATAAGAAGGTTCCTAATAAACTGATATGACTATGTTAATTGACTAGTAAAATAACAGGATAGTAGTACTAATCAAAATAGGTTGGAAAAAGCAATTTGAGTTTATGGTACTTTCACAAAAAAGAGTATCGCCATTATGCGGGATATACGATCAGTTACAAAGGAATCCTTTCGACTATTCGAGCCACCGATTACAAACAATTATACTCACATTAACAAAGAAAGTACATGGTGTCACTGGAAATGCCAAAAGAAAATTTTAAATTATCAAACAGTGTAGTACAAGTTTGAAGTGGTAGAATTCTTTAACTACATTGGATCCATTACAGCAACTGACAATAACATGCAAAACGAAATACGTAAGCGGCTATTAAAATCCAACAAAGCCTATTACAGTTTTTAAATTCAAAAACCTTACAATAGCTTCAAATCTACTACTGTATAATAATATAGTCCTATCAATACATATTGATGGATACAAGACAAATGTTTAGCTTTGACCTATCAGCCACGTTCGGGAAAATATTATTTTTAGAGAATTGTTTCACCTATACGATTCCTGAAACAATTCGTCATATAAATAGAGTTCATTAGATTCCGATAAGCGGTTCATCTAACTGAATAAGCCTGTTAGCTAAACTGGTTTTAACAGATTTGATAGTATGTGGCAGCAAGATGCTGATGACTACTACATCCAGTTTACGCTTGTAGTAGCTATGATGCTGATGATGAAATTAATGATTTTTATCGGTAAAATTACTATATGGCTAATACTTTCTATTTAATATATGTACTAGTATATGTAAATAAAATAAAACGCTTTAATTTTTATTTTTTAATAATATTAATGTATTTTGAATTTATTAACTGAATCGTTTGTGAATTGCTTTCTTGATTAGAAATATTTTATAAATTTTGGTAATGAATTAAATTATTTTGAACATTCTTACACCTTTGCCAAAATATTTTAAATTTCTAATGACTATCAATCAAATATAGTATTTACATATATAAATCATAAAAATATCAATATAAACTTAGTGAATAATCAAAAAAATTTTTTTGAAATAGAGCAATGCATTTTTGTACGGCTTAAAGACATCCTTTCAGGTTATGGTTGTATATTTCTAGCCGTATAGTTGCAAATATTAATTTGTTTAGTTATCTTTACGGCGGCGATTTTTACGTTCCTCCTAAAATACAAGAAAATATATATATTAAATAAAATTAAATATATTTAGAGAAATTATTAGCTAAAGACAATTTACAAACTAAAACCAATAGAAAATTGGCTGAAAAAATACAATTATATTTAAATAGACTAGGTATATAAATAGTTACAACATTCGAAACACACCAACCATAGTAAAGTATTCGATATTACACATTTAAATGAAATTATTATAATTTAAATTTTATGTACAATGACAAAATATCTATTTCAAATAGAAAGGTGATTAATAGTGAAAAAATTTCACTACAAAAGTTAATTTTTAATTAACTGAACTGTTTGAACTGACCATATAACAATTGAGCTCTCATCAGTTGACATCTGATTCTGCATTTTAAAATTGACTGGGTTCAATATGTGGCATTTTTTTTTATTTTTCAGTAGGTGGAAGCAGCTATATAGTAGCTGATAAAGTTCCACTGAGGTGTGATTTTTGGTAGTTGAAAACCCTTAATACGTAGCAATTGCAGCCTAAATTTATATTTTTATGGACAAATGCAACCAATAAAAGAAAGAACACTGATGTTGGATATTTGGCAATATCCGAAATATATTTATGGTCTGTCAATGAAATATATTTAATTAAAAATTAACGTTTTTACGAAAAGAATATATCATTTTTTAAATTCTACATTTCATAAAATAAATTTTTACATTCTCTAAATATATCTGTCGCTTTATTAATACAAATATTTGTTGTTCAAACAGATAGATTATTGAGGTAAAAATAATTGAAAATGTTAGTCTTTTAGTTTTAGTTTGTACTTAAAGTAAAAAAAAAATTTATAAAATAAAATATGTAAATATTAAAATATTTTTAATACCGTCAAAAGTGGCTTGGATTTTAAAATTCATTTTATTATATTTTACTTGAGGCACAGTTCTTTCGTTTTTAATGTATCAAAATAAAAGGCATTTGTTATTAGGTTAACAAAAGTTGTTTAAGCTGCAAAAATGTATAAGTATTAAAATGAATTTTAAAATTTTTATTTTACCCTAATAATACTTATACATTTTAGTTTAACTGAAATTTAA